TGTTCCAGGTGTTCCTTATGAATTAATAGGAACCCCAGATGGCATGAATCAAAGAGTGAGTCATCCTGTCAAAACCTTGAGCATTAAATGAGTTCATATTTGATCACAGAGATGGATGACTTTAGCGGTAAAACACACTTACTTCTCCTACTAGATACCAGTCAATTTGATCTCTCAGGGCTTCCTGAGCTGGCCTCTTCACTGTTCAAAGTATTGGATAAAAAGCTGGTTCAACTGCCTTCAGCTATTACACTCCCAACTCTAACTTCTTTTAAAATTAGGCTGAAAACTTTTCTCATCTCCCCCCCACACACACTCCAAAGCTTAGACTCTTTTTTTTGGGGATGTTTGGGTATTTAGTCAACTGTTTTTCTTGTTGTTTATCTATATGATGTGTATCTTTGTGGAAGTAGCCGTTATATATATCTGGACCCCAGGTTAGGATAATAAATGCTTTGTCTGTATTTCTATTGTCTTTAGTATTTCAATCTGCCCTGACTTGTTACATCACTCCTCAAAACTCATTAGACAGTCAAAAAAGACCGCCAAGTGGTCACTGCACTGCAGCTGCTGCTCATTTCACACCGTCACTATGCGCACACTGGTGCCTCAGCAACGACAACGATCCCGTGATAATGAGCTAATTATAGGTACAACATTCATACTTCCATTTCTAAATGCTCGTCTCTAATAGGAAACATTTCAAATTATTGAGAGGCACGGAGAGAAAGAGACGGATAATTGATGCAAGCAATTACAAGTTCTGTGTCGGAGCAAATTGGCCAGCATATCTGGACATGTAGGGGGACTGCGACCTCATTTACATCAGAGTGTCAGGAAATAATTGGAGAATGTACTGAGGAATTGGGATTACATAAGCAGTTCACTTGGACAGTGAGATTCAGTTCAGACAAGAAGCTTAAGGAAAGTACTGTGCTCGGAGGTCAAGGACAAAATACTACGTGCAGCCTTGCTATGCTCCAGCAAATTCAATCATAACAGTGATGTTTTTTTACAGCAACAGAATATACTTTATGACATTAATCTGTTTCCAAAAGCTGTAATTTGAGTATTTGAAATGGTTTCACCACATGCACACAGGATTCTGAATGCCTTGTCATGTTTTCAGCAGAAAGCCAGTAATAACTGCGTTCCCTTTTACGAGCCATAAGAGAGACTTTAGCTGTGTTTGGGTTGAAACCGCTTCAAAAGCAGGGGAAGACGATGTGCTTGACTTTTAACAATATCACTTCCAGATGTTTCATTACAAAACAACTTTCCAAGATCTCACCGCAAGAAAACCTTCTCGTGCGAGGGGAGCCAGCACACACGAGTGTGGCTTTCAGGAACCCACAATTATCACATTTTCATTTCAGTCAGGAAAAACAGTATCCAAAACTGTCTGGACTAACACCAATAAAGTGCTAGTATTAATATTAGTGTTACAACCCATCTAACCAGAGCAACACACATGTCATTACCCTTTGCTACAGGAAGGTATCCACATAGTATACTAAGGAAAGGTGTGGTCCAAAAGCATTGGACAGCATCGCATGTGTTTCAATTTGACAGGCAGAGTTTACTCAACAGGAAGCTATGGCTGACGATAACAATGGCCACTGAAATATAGAGGTGCATTCATTATAGTCTGCCTCTTGTGCCTCTCATCAGGCTGGCTAACACTGACTGGCGGGCTCTGACCCAGTACTCCAGAGCTTCCCTCTAATGCACCCGCCTCTCATCAAGACCCTTGGGTGGAAAAAAAGGAGTAACATGCTGTTTACTCGCAATCCCAGGCCCGTAATTGCCAATTTATTTGATAGGCAGCCGGGTAATGATGGCATTTCACCCCTTGCCGCAGAGACTAAACGGGAGTGATTCATCCCAAGCTCCCTGCCCTGCCTGATCCAGCAGACTCCCTCTGCTCAGCACTGCCGCCTGCCTGAATGCCTGCCACCCAGACTGAATGGGGCAGGGTGCGGTGGGGGGATGTGGACGGCTTCAAACGAAACCAAAAGGGAACCCGGCGCTTCAGAGTAAATGCGGCTAAGCCTGCCAATTTAGCTGGGGTTTGGGGTTGAGGCAAACACAGCCGAGCTGATGTGCCATTTGTAGGCCTTAATGAGCTGGCAGGACGGAGTGAGGAGGGAAGGCGAGCGGGAGAGAGGAGGCTGCCAGGCCTGACCTCCTCTGGCCTCCGTCTCCCTGGCAGCCAGAGCCAGATCGGGAAACTCAGTTCATCTGCTTCATCGGAGCGCGGTCGCTCCGCGAGGGGAAGGGAGTGCTACAGCAAATACCATTAGCGAACTGTTGGGTCTAATGAACAGCTCGGGTCAAAGCTAGCTCCTGTCTCACACCGCTCCCTGGTACTAAAGAGTGACTTAGATGCTTTCTCTTTGTTTTTGGACTGGGAGGGAGCATCTCTGTGCAGCTGAACCACACGAGCAGTCCAGTAGCATTGTGCAGTGTTGTGCAATCAAAATACATTTGAGTGGAACAAGCACATTGACCTCCACAGCAGAGGAATGGCTACAGGCTTTCATGTGTCACCTGGACATACGTCTATCTTCATCTGTAACTCTTTTACAGTACATCAACTGTATTATATAACTACAAAAATAAACAAAAACTAAAGAATCTATGCAAAAGAAAAACTGGTTTTTTTTATACACTCCATTTTCTTGTTCCTCCTCCTTTCACAGCTCTGCTACAAAAGCTACAAGTTGCACCTCCGGCAACGTGTGAAGTGGGTTTTTACAGCACGGCTGGAGAGGACTTGTTCAGAAACCTGTGGGGACCGGAGATGTGTGACTATCGGAGGTGACATGGGGGTCTAAAAGTCTGTCTTCATGCTGCCCAGCTTTCTGCAGCTCCTCTGAAGACATGCTCAGTCTCCTGTGGGGTGTCTTGACCAGGCGACGCGGGGAGAACCAGAGCTGCCGTTCCTTCTATCCTCCAGAGTGTTGCGAGTGGCTGAGATGTCAGCTCAGGTGGAAGTGATCATAGAGAGGGCGATAGATGCTCCCTCAGAACAAGTCACGAGCGGGGAAAGTTTCTGCTTGAGGAAACCGGATATTCTCAAATTAAAATTTCGGAGACAATTTGGAATTTAGGACAATGTTCCAATAAATCAGAGTAAACACATCGGCTGGTGCTGCTAATTATCTTCATTTCAGGGACCGATTTCACACACAATATTCAAACCCAAATAAGATGAATGTGAAGCAGTGATCGTGAGGGTAACAGACCATAACATGATGTAACTGTTTAAACATGTTTCATTAGTGTGTAATGACTCCAAGTGCAAATCATCAAAGCGATGTCATCTAAATGGGGAGACATGGTTGGCCAATGAGGCCAAGTCAGAATATACGGTTGCCAGTTCAGGCTTTTAGGATTATGAATATTTAACAATGATTAAATAAATGACATGGAGCAAAAGCTTCTAAAACATATATTAGAATAGTTGCAGGCAGTATTTTAATGGATATTTGGTGTTCCTTTTAAGGCAACTGCCATAAGGTAATCACGATTCCCTTAATATGACATGAACAATTATACATAATTATACTGTATTTCATGATGCTTTAATATTGTACCTATGTTGTAGTAGTTTGCTTTTAGTTAGTAGAGATCATGGATACTTTTATGATTCTGTGCGACAGTCACAGTAAAGCAACCATCCATAGGCTGTATGTCAAACCGTTTGTCCTGGTATAGTGCTGCACAGTCACAGTGCAGTCAGACAGGAATCAGCGAGTATCATTTCAATTTCTGTTGTCAACATCACATTACTTATTTAATTTCATGCCCAGTCAAGCATCGTGAAGCTACACGCAGAATCCGCTTTGCTTCAGTTGTTGGGCCGTGTCTTTCTCAAAGACTAGCTCGCCTCCCAACTGACAGCTTTAATTATGGCCAGATATCTGATTGCTTCACTGTACATTCTCCACACGAATCAAAGGGCAGGGTGTGTGGCAGCGAGGTCCCTCCAGCCTGCTCGCTTCACGTCTTGGAATATGTCACAGGGTGACTCATAGCCGCTCTTTCTTCTGTCCGTTAATGCTCGCCTTCAGCTCCCCCCCACAAGCCACGAGGTCGTGAGTAAGTGGTGTCTTTTTTTGTAAAAGTCATAAAGAGAGTGTGTGTGTGTGACTGCAGGACGCAAATAGTGCTCTTCACCTGAAGTACTCCAACATTTAAGATTTATATGACATTCATAACTTACCTTTTGTCTGTGACATACCAACGGTGCAAGGCCACAATCACATAATGACTCTTCAGTTAAGAAACTGGAGTACAGTTTATAAATATTTGTGCTGAAAGAACATCCACTGATTGAGAATACCAAATAAATTCTCTTGAGCTCTGAATGTTTTTACTGTTACATGGAATGATTAAGTAGGAAGTTTGACGTGAAGGTCGATGAATACAAGTATCTTACTGCCCACATGACGCCGTTTCCTGTCAAGGCAAAGGTTGTTCCACAAGCATTGCAACTAATGAATAATTCATGCAGATTCATTTGTGTCGGATTTAGTAAATCTTTATTTGAAGTGCCATCTGTGAAACTTCTACCACTACTACTTCCTATACAGCCTTTATATATCACTCATGTCCAGAAGTTACTGGGTTGTCACTACAGTCAGTCAGTTCTGTTAACTTATCACTTGTTCATTCAACGTAAAGTTGTGGAGGCTGCCACAACTCTCACGTCTATCTGATAACTTCTTATAATACCGTTTTGTTTGTCTGTTCTTGAGTACAATTGATCACTTTTTAGAAACTCCACAGGGCACCTTTAAGTACCACTGACATGCTATTGGGACTTTGACAATGGTTAGTAAATATTTGCTCAGACTTCCAATTATTCTGTCCAATCTTTTCTTCTTTGTTGTAGTTTTTGATTATATTTGAAATGCTGGTAATGTACTATGATTTTTGAATTTGAAAGTTCAGACTACCAGTGAAGCAGCGGTCCGATATGTTAATGTACTCACGTCTGTCACTCTGTCTCTGGAGCTGCTCCTGACGGAAGGCTTGGACTCTCCGCTCTCGCTGTCGCTGCCCTTACAGTTGTTCTGCCCTGGCTTCAGCTGCCAAACACAACACACAAGGAGACCAAGGGTTAACAACATGAAGTAAAACTGTTAACACTGCAGTTTAGAGCTTTACACGGATAAAGCTGGCGATGGGAAGGCATCCCACAGAAATCGGCTCATGAATATGTGAGAGCTGGCAGGAGCTGCGGCGCTGTCTCTGTAAATCTGTCACATTTCGGAGCCTATTCAGCAGCCATCACTCCGCCTGCCAATGATAGACGCCATCTGATCTCGCAGTATGAAACTCCTCTCAGCCCACGAAATAGAGAACAGGGACAAAGACCCCTCCAGAACCTTCAAATGGAGCCGCTATCCTTTCCAAGCAGACACCACATGCCGAGGCAGCAGGAGCTCGGCAAGTGTCATCCTCTAGACGCTCTGTTCGAGATGCAGCGAAATGACGAGAATAAAGGGGGGGACGTGCCAATCCGCGAGCATCTGAGGCCCTTCAAAATCTGTAGGACAATAAAAGACTCTTGGGAGTGCGGAGCTGAGTGGAAAGGAGGTGGGGCCCATACGCGCTGTCCAAGTCTGCGATTGATGTCCTCTGAAGCTCCCATGCTGCTCCTTGCAGACCAGACAAACGCCGCAGGTTTCATTTCAAAGCGCATAAAAAAATGCTTTATGGGACAGCGCAGTCAACGGCTGCTCTGCCAACTAATAGGAGAAGCAGAGCGTGGCACTGCAACACACAAAGGACTTGGACTAGAAGATGATGGCACTCTCCTTTCCCCTCCCAGTCCTGCTCTGAAGGGGAAGAGACAGTGCTACAGTATATGTTTGTTTTACCTCTCCTTCAGAATTCTCTTTTCAGGTATCGGCCATCATTTAGCGCGATGAAAGGGCACAAGGTGTGGGAATACCAAAAGAACCCCCGAGTTGAGCGGGTAATTAAAATGAAAATGTTCCCTTTTCTGTAGCCATTAGCGGTGTGAAAGGAATCCTATTCCTTGGGAGAATTGCATGATGGGTGGAAGGCGGGTGGATTCGCCAGAGTGCTGAACGTGATAAGAGAGTTTGAGCACTGGGAATGCCTGACGGGCCTGCTCTACAAGGTGCGTGCACGAGTATGAATACGCGTGTGTACATGTGTGTCAGCGTGTGTCTATGTGGCCTGAGACGAGAGCGCACGAGAACCAAACGTGGCACACGCACAGACACATGCACACCGATGCCCTGCGCTGTGATAGCAGTAATTACCTCTGACACGTTTTATTCCCACAAAAACCAGGGGCACATTATTCTCTTTTTCTTGTAAATGCCAGTTTGTCTGAGGGGAGTTTACATATTTTTAGAGAGAAAAGAGGGAATAATATCTCATCCACCCTGGCCTGTGAACTGATCCTTGAAAAGAGGGCGAGGGACGCTGTTTACGCCCCAGTCTGCGGCTCCTTCATCAAAACATGTTGACCTATAATATTTATTAACCAGCCCGTGTCCCTGCCGACATCACCGGGCAGCATACTCATGCATTTATGAATGCGCACGCACGCGCACGCACGCGCACGCGCACGCACGCGCACGCACGCACGCACACGCACGCACGCACACAAAACCAAACTCAGATCTGTTAGGCTTATACATATAATCTGGCAAGTGTGGGAGAGATATAGAGATTTGTCTTTTATTAATCAATGTGGTATCACGCCAACTCCGCAGTGGTGCGACCGCATAATCACATTGCCGTATCCTGGCTTATCAGTGGGAAAGTACTCCATGAAATCAGAAATCTTGCACAAATTTAAATCTGTGTGTAATGTCTGAAGAACATGTCTAATAAAGACATTCCAATAAAGAGCGGCTCATATTCCAGGGCTATTACATAGCTCGGGACCTGATTACACAGCTATTTGAAAACGTATCCCTCAGCTTGTTCCCTTTAATTTCCCCTTGAGCTCCCTTAAATTACTTCAGAGAATTGTGTGTGTTTTTTTTCCTCTTCATCCGCTCTCCCCTTTCTGAGGTTCACATGATGAATTCATTTTGTTTTATGCTGCGATTAATGGCTGTATAAGACAAATGCTGAGGGAATGCTGGCGGTCAAGGCTAGACCACAGTTGATCCGTGATCCGTATGCATCCCCCCTTGCCGTTCGGCACGCATGTGAACCGTGGATTAATTACACAGTTTAACGTTAACCAACAGTGTGAAATAAGGTTTTACCGACGATGGTTATCCTCCAATATTCAGTAAAATATGCGATCAGGACATCAGCTTTAATGCTTTTCTGTTCGCCGATCTCTGATAATGTTACTTTGTAAATAACCAATCCGTGTTTAAATTGAAACGAAGGTTCCGTTTGGTTACATTATGATGCGTTCAGGCTCTGTTGATGTGTTCACATGTAATCCCGTAAAATGTAGTGTTGGTGAGAAACTTTAATAAATACAGTTTGAAAGAGATATTTTCACAGCAATATAATACATCATTAAAACCATTAATTACAAGATTTGTTTTAATCAATAAAAATACAATCTGTTATTTCCTAATCATTTCAAATGTGTTTTATAAAGAAAAAAACTATTAATGACTAACAAAGTAATTTTTTATGGTTTACAGACTTCAGTGGTTAAATTGTTTTTTGGGAAAAGTGAGTGTGGAGCCTTGTAGACCAGCTGCTATAATCAAACAATATGGATCATCAATGATCGGCAATTAGTGTTGGCGGCAATAAAAACGTGATCAGGGATCTCTAAAAGTTCTATTGGTTCTTTTGTGCTGATCCGATCCCTGATTCTGATCCGTGAGTTTTATGATCCGTTGCTCCACTAGTCAGGGCCATCAAAAATCAAAGTTGAAATGTAATGACTTGCAGTCTGATGATAAATCTAAATGAGGATCCTTTTTTGTGTGGGCGTGCGGGGGGGGGGGGGGGGATCAGATCAACGCTGATCTGATCACTCCAACTTGTTACTGCATGCAGGTCGTTTTTATAGCCTTTTAAACCTGTAATGAGACCCAGCGCACTTCACTGCATTCAGCAGAGATCTACGGCAGAGGGATGAGTCATGCGTGTGCAGAGGCCCCACACTGGTGCGTACTGATGCAATAGCATACACACATTAATTAAGACGCAGGTTGAGACATACGGATGCATTTATTTAATGACCTCACTGTATCTGTGCAACCTGGGGCCCTGCAGGAAGATAACAGACAGATGGTTTTAATATTCCAGTGGCTAATTTCACAACAATTAAAGACACAGCAAGACATTAGCGTCTAATGAAACATTTAAACTACTAGTAAGTGCATCTGCCATTAATTTCCACACAGTGAGGTCTTGCTTTCCTGCAATCTGTTCTGTGTTAGGGGATAAAGTAGTTTTTAGTTTTTTTCCTCTTCCTCATCTCTGTTACCAGTCTGAATCTACTGAAGTAGAGAATCAACAACTGTTTTCAATCAGCAGTCAGCGTGAGGCTTTGGAAGAAAGCAGCCGAACCTCAGCATGAAACTGTTCAACCCGCAAGTATGAAAATCATTTGGCATTTCTTATAAATCTTTTATATATATATATATATATATATATATATACGCTTGTGATTAAGTTACTAGCAACTATTCACACTTGCTGCCATACTGACAACTGAACATCCCCAAACCATTTGAATGTGTCAGTTAAGTCTGAGTTTCTGCTGAAAAAAATTGAATTAAGTGTTGCAATCTCTGTGGAGCTCTCAAAAGGTAACGCATTACCTATTACTAGTTACTCTCAAAAGGTAACGCATTACCTATTACTAGTTACTCTCAAAAGGTAACGTATACCTATCACTAGTTACTCTCAAAAGGTAACGTATACCTATCACTAGTTACTCTCAAAAGGTAAGGCATTACCTATCACTA